ATGAAAATAGGTATGGATAATCATCACGTGTTCTTTTTCAGCATCGGTTTTGTTTGTTTGCCGTTTCGGGATGAAACAAGGGATGTATTTAATTTGTTTTCGAAACTATGGTAACCAAATAGAAATAAAATTATACTGGTTTCTACTGTTTTTTTTTTTTTTGAAACTTACTGGTTTCTACTGTTACTCAAGTGTTTATTATTGGATTAATTTAGTTAATAACCAAGAAAAAAATGAAATATAATAATTTAACTAAAAACTCTAAAATTAATGGCTATGATTAGTACCACATAAAAAATTTTACTTAATTATTATGTTTTAATTTTTTTTTGGTTATATTTGCCAATTTTCTTTTATTATTTTGTTCATAAAATTTTTTTCCTCTAGTAAATTGAGAAAAAAACAATTATACTGGATGCTTTTACTTTTTAGGTGGATCTAGATTACTTTTCTTTCTTCTATATTTTTTTTCTTTTCTACTTTCACCATTCACACCCTAAAATAAAGTTATTTTGCTTAATTATCTTTTTACGCCTCTTCGAAATTTGCAGAGTTAACGCAAAACGATACTACATAAAACATCACACATACGACTACGCCGTTAACAAAAAATGATAATCATCCTATACATAATTGATGAGTTTCATCTCAGAAGAGGTTAACACCTAATAATTACTCTTTATGCCACATCATATTTCAATCTTATTCTTTTTTTTTTGTCATCTAGAATATTATATTAAACTCCAATGAATACATGACAGATTATAAGATCTGATACAAGTTCACTACAACAACAAAGCTAACGGAAGACAAGCTTCCCTGGAAACATATATAGGATACTAGAACCTAAAACAAAAGAAAAAAAATACTGATAAAAATAAAAGAATAATTCTCGACCCATGTTCAAAACATAAATAGTTTTTTCTCTTCCTTTTTCTCGACTTCTCCAAATCCCTTGAAAGTTAAAACAATAAATATTTGTCCATATCAAAACAATTTCACCATTGAATTGTTGACTCAATAACAAGAAGTTTCTAACTTTTGATATTCCATTGCTATATTAGGCATAAGAAACCATCAAACAAAATATCAAAAGCAAAAAGAAATAAAATTTGATCTAGAGACGAAAATGTTTCTAAGCGGTGGTCGAGTGTGAAATAGATAGAAGAAGAGATATGATGAGAAAGATGGAAGACGAATGAGTCGTAAATGACATAGATATTGACGCTCAAATATAGAATAAGGATCAATGTTAACGCTGAAGACGGAATTTTTCTTTAGATATGTATTGGCAACATACATTAAATTTTTTTTTTTTAACAAACATCCTCTAATAATCAAAGTAATTTATCAAATAATTGTTGCATATATAAAATAATATTTCTACCCAAAAGAATATATGGGTTCTTTATTGCCAAATATTTCAAAGAAATTGGTGATTGGTGAACCAGATAAAATGACACTGGTGGCAGAAGATATCGGGAGTAGGACGCATAAGAGCATAAGCATCCGTGATACATGGAGAGTATCAGTTGAATAAACAAATATTAAAAACACAATCTCTCTTCTTTTTACTCAATTTTATACTTTCTCTTTCATATTTTTACTCAACTTTTATTAATTTTATACTCTCTTTAAATATAAAATTATTAAAAACATTTGATACACTCTCTTTCTCTCTTCAAAAGTATCAACTATTTGATACTCTCTCTCCAAAAATATCAACTATCTCTTCTCTTTACTCAAATTTTATTAATTTTATATTTCAATACACCCCACTATTTCAACYAAAAACACTCTCTTTCTTMMTTTAACTYAAATTTTAATWATTTTATATTTAATGATACCCACATTGTATCACCAATACTCATGCTCTAAGTGGTGTTTGAAGTCAGTAGAACTATGCACAAAAAAAAAAAGTCTAAAAAATACGATAATTAGGTAATAAATGTGCAAGTAGGAAGTGGAGTCACAGACAACGTTGACCTGTCTCTAAAACATTTGAAGATAAATCTTAAAGAGTTAGAACAAGAAAAAAAATATATCTCAAGACTTTCTTAACTAGATATATATCAAATATCAATAGCATGCATAAAACTTACCAACTACTAATTAGATATGTTTATATTTTAATAAAACATTACATATACGCAAAACCAGGGATATTTCTCTAGTTACATATATAACGATTGGGATGTGTTGCCCAAGAAATTATCAAACGCAAAAGTCATACTTAATAGACCATAAGACTAGACATAGACTCAAGAATCCATGAAGTATAATTTTGTTTTCTCAACAACTATAACTTTACTTCTTTTTTTTTAATTAATCCACTACTGTTTTATCAAATCGATCCAACGATCCCATATTAGGTTCCATTTTACAAAAAAAAAAAATGATATTAATTATGTGATAGATAAACCCTAATATATTAGACAAACCCAACAGAGGATCTTTATTTTGTTTTTTCAAATGTGGGCGGCGAAACTAACTAGTACTACTATAAACGACTTGTCAAAAGATACGATTTTCATTTATTGTTGATAAATAATATTTTTCAAACTAACTAATATTGATCATGAAAATTCAAAATCACTCAAGAGTGCATATTATTAGTCAAGAACTTAAGAATTACACCGACATAGATTAATAAGCTTTTAAATCTTTAACTCATGATTTTTTCGATATCCGAAATCAATTTTTAGATATTTCGATTTAAAAAATAATTTTTCGTACCAATAAAAATTTAAATCCAAAATATAAAAAGCTAATTCTTTTGTGTTGTCACTAGACACCATACTTTTGGTATTTTTGGAATGTTTATTGCTTTGATTGTCACTTTCATAATTATCAGTGCAACTTGAAACACTGTATGATTGATACGAATTAAACATGAACGCATTTCAGAGACGAGGGCCCGCTGTATGATCTTTACATTGTTACTAAGATAATATCCGTAATGTGCACGGATTGAAATGAATATACATAAACATAATTTGAAATATGTTAGTGTATATTCAAACTTGTGATAAATTTTATAAGTATATGTACCATCTAGGGATGTAAAAAAAAATACATAAACCAAACTGAACCGAAACAAAATTCACCAATTCGAACTTCAACCCACTTATATAATAATCTGAATTGGTATATATATTTATATACTAAATTACCAAAACCGAACTCTAGTAGGTTATATACTAAACTTATATGAATTATGAGTTTTCCATTAAAAATAAGATTTTGTACATCTCGTGATAGCATCCCATATT